GACGAAGGGGGCCGCCTCGAAATATATAGTCGTTACAACTAACTGGCTGGATTACGTATTGCCTCTCCATCTGCCGCCTAAAACTGAGGGTTTGCCTTGCAGTTCCACCAAGTAGCGCGCCTTCTAAGATACAGCTTTCCCGATGCCCCTCTAGTGATGCTCCTGTGGGTTACTTCCGCCAGTCCTTTGCATCAAATCCGGCCTTGCTTACGTCACTGCTGGTTGCGGTCATCCGCTGTCCCGGGAACCCAGGGCTGCTGGAATCCCCCCTCTTCAGTATGTGGAACCGGACATTGGTGACAGCCTGGTATGTGCTGTTTAATGATCTATATATGGTATATCATCGGTATCTGGCTTATGGTATATGGCAATATGGCATAATTTTGCTTAACAAATGCAACCGTCTTTGTGGTTTTAATAAACTATGACTTTTTAATACTTATTATGCCTGAAATTTCTGGACTTTAATGCAATTCTATTACCATTTACATTATTGCTACGACAGAGCGCTCCTTTTTGGTTTCTGTTCTTTTTCTGTCATACATGTTCATAGAGTAGTGAAGCATCCTGGCATATTGCATTTTTTATACAAGATTTGTGGTATCATGTGAGTGTCCCGACTTGGTAGCAATGTAACAGGGAAATTATACATATAAAGCCAAGATGTTTATTCATTACAAACTGTTATACAGGTGGGCATTGGATAACACTGTGTGACAAATCTAAAATGGCCCAAAGAGGGACTGCTTAGACTTTCTACCTCCATGGCACATGGCAATGAAACAAGCATGCCTGTCTAGTTCTAGGACTAAGCAAGTGGTTTGTCTCTTCTTATTCTGAGAAAAAAGGTAAACAAATCTTAACGCTTGACACGGGTTTTGCAACTTTAGTAAAACTGTGTTAGTAAAAACTGTACGTATCATCGCAACTAATTAGAGCTGATTCACACATGAACAGTGCGGAATGAAGCTCAGGTTTCACAGCTAATTGATACTGTAGTTGTTCACAGGTTCACATCAAGTTTACATCAAGCCAGGACAGGATTAGCTCAGGATCTTATTCTGTTCACACATATGCAGTTTAGAAATGGTTCCCATAGAAGTCAATAGCCTGTAATCCACAGCTGATCCAGACTGCACTTCTCAGAAATCACACATGGCTCTTTTTCAAACTGCACTGCATCCGCACTGCCAGTGCATTAGACATATGTGAACAGGCACCACAGGGAGCAACGTTTTTTCACATGCCATGCGGATTGGATGCGGTTTGAACCGGTATATATGTGAACCGGAACTTACTGTAATGTGTCCTGAATCCAGGTGAATTATACCTTGTTCTTTTTCAGGATAAATAGAGCCTTCATTTGTTTGGTAAATGTTTGTGTAGATCTCCTGGCCCAAAAGAAAGAAAAAAAAAAACACAACCCAAAACAAAAATCTCCTACTCCTGACGATCTCAGTAATACCACATAGAGCACTTTTTTTTTTTCAAATCACACCGATTGTGACCTTTTGATGCTAACCTTTACCCTAAACCCTGACACTGACCTAGCTAAAACCCTGGTCAAGCCATTTTAACTTTATTTTATTTTTTTACACAACTTTTCTTTTTTTTATACAATCCTCTAGCAAAGATAAAAAGACACAATGCATTTCTTTCTCTATTTTACAAGAGAAAACACAGGGGTGGGTTGTATAACTGCTGATCACTGTGCTAGCCAATCACAGGCTATTACAGTGATCACAAGATCAACAGCCAGTTCTCACAGCTCCATCTGTTTAGTACAACGCCCGTAGCTGTCGGTGAAAGCACAGTCTTTATGCTGGGAGCACACCACAAACATAAGTATGCACATATATGGTCTCACTGAAGCAGGTCCTTTGGTGATGCATTAACACAAGTTTTGAGCTAAAGGGGTTAATGATCTTATTGGTTGTCTCTAAGGAGCTAATCTTCCTACTGACAGCCAATGTAAGGGGGCACTACAATTTACACTGTCATACTTTTACTTTGTAGTCTAATTTCAAGATTATTACTGAAGATACTTTTGACTTAGAGAGAAGGAAGTGCTAAAAGAAATGATCTGCCTGGGATATCACATGCACTAGGTACACCAACATTGGTACACACAAAGACATTATTTAACCTCCCTGGCGGTATGATTATTTCAGATGTTTGGTGCTGAAAGCGGGTACCATTATTTTGCATGGAAATTTGGCGTTTTATATTGTAGGCCTGTAATTCTTAGGAATAACTCAAAAGTCTAGTAAACATCCCGGGTAGGTTAAACTTGAAACACAAAATCATAAATTTAATAAATAATCATAAAAAATAATAATATAATAATAAATTTAATTCAATAATATAATCAAACCAAAAACACTGAAATTTGAAATATAGCGCCAAGTTCGCACATCACTGAGCAAAGTCGCAAAATTGTTTTCAGTGTCTGATGACGAATTTCCCCACGAATCATTATCACATAATTCTGCAAGTGGTTCTGATTTACTATCGCTGTCCTCTAGCCGGTCTAAAACCGCTTTTGACCTAAAGGGACGCTTTTTGGATGTCATGGACATTTCGCAGTTTCCAGGCAATAAGAACAGTAAAAATGCAGGCAGGGCACAGGACAAAGCACTAGGGACAAAATGTATGAAAATGGTTTGATACACTAATGTTTTACTATGCGATTTTAGTGAATTTAGTGAAATGTCACTTTTTGTCATTTTCAAAATTTCCCGCCGTTCCGTCCCCCGTACGTCCCACGCTCGCAGGGGACGGAACCCAGAAGACAGATGCCGGGCACAGGACCGCCAGATTACATTGCCGAGGACACTGCAGGAGGAACATCACAGGAGCGCAGGACAAGGTAAGTGATAGAGGGATCGCGGAGCAGCGACACATGGTATTCCCAAGTGTAGCTCGGGGTTACCGCTTGTGATACTGAAACTTTACCCCGAGCTACACTCAGGAATACCGCCAGGGAGGTTAATTGTGAGACACTGGAGACCAAAATTTTCAAAGACACCGAAAAGCCTCCCATGTATAAATACCAAATGCTGAGGTCTATGTCACTGCTTGAGAAGAACACCAAAAGCCTTTCTACTGTACATGCTGTATTTCTAAATAGGAAAGAGCTTAATTCATGAGAACTCCACATTCCCAGTACAGCTAGATGGCAAAGTGAGGGCATGGGACATGTTTTTATTGCTTACTTACTGTAAATAAAATTAATTAGATCTTTCTTTCTCAAGCAAGTTATTTATATATTCAACCAAGATCTCTGGGATAAGAAAATATCATCTAAAGACAAGAGAGGTGTATTTTTACTTGAATCTTGGTGTGCTTTGTGTATTCCTTCCAGATTTGTGCAGTAATCCAGCATGACACTTTGCCTCTGTGCAAAAGCTTCCTTTATTAAGACTGGACACTGCTGCTATCTTTCCTTGTGCAGGGTGACTGGTCTTGCATCCGTCATCCTCTTCTGTAGCTTTCTGCAGCCAACCTATATTGAGTGGAGCCTACTGGGTCCCTTCTACAGCCCTGCTCTCTGCACAGGTTATGTACGTGAAAATTTGCATTTGATAAACCTCTGCATAAATATTGCGAGGCACACAAAATTGCAACAAACACCATTTTATTCTCCGGGGCCTCTGCTTAAAAAAATTACATGTTTGGGAGTTCTAAGTAATTTTCCAGCAAAAACAATGCAGGGATTTTACATGTATGTGAACAGAATTGGCCTGGTTTAAAAAGTGGTTAAGTTCACAACATGTGCTAAAAACAAAAGATGTAAAAACATTGTTTAAGTAAAAAAAGCTCTTTATAAAAATCACATAAATCAGGAAACAGTGGAAACTCCATTGACACTTACCTGAGAAGGAAAGCGAAGGGGGTCTATGGTACCCTGAGACTTCTTGCCAGATGCTACGCATTCCACCAGTAATGTTTGTAAGGTGGACTTCATCTGGGAAGCCAAACTACTAAGCCAGACCTATGAGACAAAAAGAACTGAAGTCAGCTGTCAAGCACTATGGGGCTGCCTTCTGGAACCTGCAGGAAAATGGCTGTCTTGTCAGCTGGATATCAGCATAGGTTTCTTTCTAACTATGACATAAAATCTGTGCACTTATCTAACCAGCACCACTTGTTTCAATCATCACAAGAAAGTCTGGAGCCTCCATTTTTTTCATAATCTTAATCTGATGCAGGATGACTCAACTCAGTGCTAATGTGTGGACTTAGGTGTCCATAGATAGGGGTGATTATATGCATATTATATGATCTAATTGTCGTTGGACATCAAAGCCTGCCAGAGCACCAATACATGAGGGTTAAGCCAAGTATTTGTGAACGTTAGGCCAAGTACTCATTTTTACTGTATATCAATGAACAAGGGTAAAGGAAGGAGCAGTGCTGTCATCAAGCGGGGAGAGGGAATGGCAATAGCAGTAGATGACCAGGTGAGTGCATTCTCATGTCTGTGGCTAGTTTTCGAGCCCAGTGAAAGGTGGTGGTTTAAGTAAATCATATTTGACAAAATTTCAGCAAATAGATGGGTAGTTCTAAATGAGATGTGATGAGCAGCCTCAGTGACCAACAATGAGGCACAGCAGATGGCCAGACAGAACTCAAGTTTCCTTATTGCAATGAATAGCTTTATATTAGAACAACCGTGTTCAGAGCTTCTGAGAAAATACTGAAAACTATGTACAGGCCTCTAAATAGTTTGTTTCATTAATGTTACCACTTCATACAGGTTTTAGTAAAGAAAGATTACTGAAAGCCTTTATATTATCATCTGGAAAGAAGACATATGGGATCAGGCTTTTAGCTTAGGGCAACACGGTCGCTATTCTTCCACCAGGTCCAATACATTGAGTTTTATTAATAATAAATGTGATTTGTTGGTACCTATATTTCTTATATCTCACCTCAACATCCGTAGTGACCAGGACCTTGTTTTGTAATGGAACAACCTCACCTTCCAGAGATTTCATGGCAACTATGTTCTTGAAGTCATTATCAAAATCAACACTATTCACTCCTGTGTGGAGGATAGGAAAAATACAATATTTTATCAGCAAACTAAAATAAGGTAGAAGGTATTTAAGGTTTATAACCCATTTAAAGAGGTCCTGTCAGCTGTATGGGCACATAGTGGATATAAAAAGTCTACACACCCTTGTTAAAATGTCAGGTTTCAGTGATGTAAAAAAATGAGACAAAGATAAATCATTTCAGAACTTTTCAACCTTTAACTAGCATAAACAACTATTTCAAATGTCTAGTTAACTTGTGAGCGGCGGTATTCCGGTAGGAAAACCTGATTGGAGATTAGGGGGAATACTACCTACAGTAAATTCTCAAAATTCTTTTACATATCCGTGAATGTCATTAACACCTTTTTTTTTTTGTACATAAAACAACCTGCAATAGTGGTCCTCACCTGAGGATTTACCCCCCTTTCTGACCAGGGCCATTTTTTGCATTACAGCACTAACGTTACTTTAACTGACAATTGCGCAGTCATGCAATGCTGCACTCTAATGAAATGTATGTCCTTTTTTTTCCCACAAATTGAGCTTTCTTTTGATGGTATTTGATCGCCGCTGGGGTTTCTATTTTTGCACTATAAAAAAAAGTCGTAATTTTAAGAAAAAAACTATATTTTTGACTTTTTGCTATTAAACAAGTCCAGTAAAAAAAAAAATGTAAAAATCCAATTTTGTCATAAATTTAGGCCAAAATGTGTTCTGCAACATGTCTTTGCTAAAAGAAAAAAAAATTACTAATACGTGTAAATTAGTTGGTTTACGTGAACGTTATAGCGTTTCCAAATGGCAGTATATATATATATATATATATATATAATATAAAATTTTTTTTTTTTTACTATAAAAAAAAGGGGTCAAATTCCAAAAAGGAGTCATTTGGGGGTGATTGTACCGTCCTGGTATATTAACACCTCAAGAAAATGTGATGAGCAGTCAGAAGGCAAAAGCGGTGTAAATTCCATTATCTATACCTTAGTTTGTAGATGCTATATAACTTTCACTCAAACAATTAATATACACTTATTGCTTGTTTTTTTACCAAAAACATGTAGAACAGAATACATTTTGGCCTAAATGTATGACTAAATTTGAGTTTTTTTGATGTTGTTTATGACAGAAATGAGAAAATATTGTCTTTTTTTTTTCGGTCTTTCTTTGTTTATAGCGCGAAAAATAAAAAGCGCACAGGTGATCAAATACCACCAAAAGATCGTGCTATTTGTGTGAAAAAAAAACATACATTTTATTTATGTACAGCATTGCATGTACAAGCAATTGTCAGTTAAACTAGTGCATAGCTGTATAGTAAAAAAATGGCGTAAATTGCAGTATTTATACCATAGTTTGTAGACGCTATAACTTTCACACAAAAGCAATCAATATACACTTATTGGGATTTTTTTTTACCAAAAACATGTAGCAGAATACCTTTTGGCCTAAATTTATAACGAACTTTGAGTTTACTATATATTTTTTATAGCCGAAAGTAAAACAATATCTTTTTTTGCTTTCGCTTTTTTTGTTTATAGCGCAAAAAATTAAAAGCGCACAGGTGATCAAATACCCCCAAAAGAAAGCTCTATTTGTGTGAAAAAAGGACGTCAATTTTGTTTGGGTACAGCATTGCATGACCGCGCGCAATTACCAGCTGAAATAGTGCACCGCCAAATAGCAAAAAGAGGCCTGGTCAGGAAGGGGTATAAATCCTCAGGATGGCAAGTGGTTAATATCACTTCAAGTGTCAACGGCATATCCATTATCACCTATTTACAACACAAATACTGCCTAAAATTACTGAATCATGTATTATACACTTTTGAGGCCCACACTTGACTTGTGCTAACAAGCCTGAACCAGCTGTATGAAATCTGTATAAAGGTTTAGGAAGCATAATAGAATTATTTGCACAGCACTTTTTACATTTAAAATAAATGCCTTTTTTGTTAAATTTATAATGGAAGTGCGAAAATGTAAGGCAATGGTGTGCCTGACTGTATTTTTATGAAGGACACTTTGGTCCATTTTGCCACTTTACTGCATTCTAACTAGATTTCAAATTAGACATCTGTAGTCTAGACAGCACAGCAGCATTCTGTGCTTCATGGAAAATTTGATTGAACATGGAAAATTCTCAAATAAAGCAGTTCTACAATAATGAAAGCTTTTAACAGTTTACAGTAGCATAAGTAAAATTTAATTTTACAATCCTTTTAACCCATCCATAAAAACAATAAATCGCTGGTATAACTATGGATATATAAAGTGATCATCATTCTGACATAGTAACTCTGAAGGGCAACATTCTTGTCCAGACCTCTACAACCACCAACACATAGATTGAGGTCTGCTGTACCCCCAATGTCCAATGAGAAAAATAGATAAAATTCATCAATTACTATCAATTGGAATAATATATGCATTAATAATTTTACCAGCAAAAAGTTTCTTAAGGTGTGACTGGATGACTGTGGGGTTAGTGGACTGGCCCAGTATCTCAAGCAGATCATCATCTCCAATAAAATAAAATCGGGGGAAAGCTGAACGCTTTTCCTGTTAAGGCAAAACAAGGGGCACATTGTAAAGTGTGATCTGGGATAAAAAGGAAATATTGGGGGTTATTCACTAAAACTGAAGAGTGTAAAATCTGGTGCAACTCTGCATAGAAACCAATCAGCTTTCATTACCAAAGCTTAACCAAATAAACTGAAGTTAGAAGCTGATTGGCTACCATGCACAGTTGCACCAGATTCTGAGTGTACCAGTTTTAGTAAATCTACCCCTGTATGTGCGACAAACATAGGCATGTTATACCTCCAGAAACTCATTCAAGGATTTCTGGCATCTCTGAAGCTGATCCAGGATAGTTATCAAAGAGTTTCTTATTCCAACCCGTGATGTCAACATTGTCACTCTGTTGTCTCTTTTTATATCTGACATTATAGACCTGTTTATAATAATAAAAAAGCAGAATGAGATGTGACAAAATAATACAGTATATTTACAGCTTACGAGCACCCAAAGTTGGGTTACGTTAGAGGACTGGCAGGCTGCCAAGATTCTGCTTCCATATAAAGTGAAGAGGAATAGAGCTGCAATTTCAGTGCCTCTGTTGAGAATTTTGAAGACATTTTCTATACTGCCTATAGCTACATAGGGGAACAAGAGCTTATTTTAAAGTGCTTTGAATGTTTGTTCAAAATATGTAAATACTTTTGTCTAGGTACTGGATCACCAATCGACTGCAGCCATTTATCGGTGTATTCAGACAGCGCCGGGACCCGCTTCCAGAATACAATGTCCCAGCAGGGGGAATTCCTCCATCCACCTTGAGGAATATCTTCATTTTTTTTTCTGTTCAGCCTGCTGGCTAAACAAGAAAAAAAAAAAAAAAACAACTCATCTACAGCCAGCTTTAGTGTCTGCATACCACTATCATGAGAATTTCACATGAAAACCAGGAATAAGCTGGCAGTTAATCAAGATGCAGCAATGCTACTCTACACATAAAATATACAGCATAATCTACATAAAATGCACGTATACTAGCTTTTTTGAAAGTCACATAGAATCATCCTCATCTTGAGTTATACAAAGTAAAAGGTGGCTTTATGATTAGGCACGATAAAAGCTCTGTGGGGGACACATAAATCTGAAGTGTCACTAGGAATGGTTCACTAATAATAAAACAAAGAGGGAAGACTTTCTTCCCTCGTGCCACATACATTGCACACATACAATTCTTGTTTATTATAGGAAAATCCTCAAGCCTAAAAATCCAGCAAATGCCAACAAAATGTGAAATAAAAGTTATAAAATCAAAGGTCAAGAAAAATCACAATTTTATATTAATATATATGCATCACAGTCAAATGGGCTATTTTTATATTTAAATATACAAGTCAGCTACTTTAAATAAATAAGCCTATCAGTTACTTAGGGACTTTTAAACAAAATACCCTTTTGATCCAGTCACTGAGCTCAAATTGACGACCCTCCCTAGATGCACACTTATCAAGAAATGTTTAGTGCTCTGGCCTTCCTTTGGGGTTCTATAGAGCCAAATCCTGAGGCTGGAGCTGCTCAGAAGATGGCCTTCTTGGAATTCTTTGGGAAGATATCGTGCAGGTGCAGCCAGAATACTGAGAATCTGCTGGCTGGATGTAAAACAGTAAAGGCTGCGACTGACATCCCAGGCTTTGTTCATGCCATATATTCAGAAAAACTGATGGAGGTCGACATGCAGATTTCACTTTCAGAGACATCAGTTTATATCAGTTTTCATTCACGCTTCAATATGTTGCAGGTTCCTGTGCAAAAAAATCTGCATGTGATACTAGTGTTGTGGTGTGAACAGGGAACATAGAGAACAATTGATTTTGTTGTGTCCTTGCAGAACATGTGCAGAAAAAAACTGCCATCTCTGCATCATGGTGTGAACGAGTTCTCACTAAATATGTATAAGTGAAAAGGATAAGTTCACTTAGCCTGAAAGTACCCAATTATATATTTGTGGTGTGATGATGTGTGTTGTGTTAAGACACCCCATTAATTATCTCCTATAAGCCCAGAACAAACTAACAAAGGCACATACACAATTGTTAGCAATGGAGTGCACAACAATTCAAGTGAATTGGGAAAGGTCTGTTGATCCACCCTTCAGAATGAATATAAATTACAGGGTTCATTCAGAATTTCAAGTATTCAGAATGAATGGCACCGCAGTGCACAAAGGTGCATAATGAGCACTGCTGTGTGTTAAAGCAATGAAACTTTGTGAATTCATTGTTGATGCTTTCTAAACCTTGTTTTTAAGCTAGGCTCGGAATGATAAAGTATGTGTACTGTATGGATGCAGAATCTGTCTTCTTGTCATGTATACAACATGGCAAGGTAGCAGCTTTGTCCCCCCCCCACCACCACCCCACCCTCCCCTCATTCCAGTGGCTGACGTTGATATGGACTGCAACAGATACAGCCATATAAAAATGCTTTGGAAGAGAGATGTCCTTTTTTTTTTTTGGTAAAGTGTATGCGACTAAGAAATATGTTTGACAGTATTGATTTTGAAATGAATGGGTTTGGATAGCTATAATTTAATGTTATATAAGGGGAGGTGGTTGTGATATCAATAATTTCATTCAGTTTCCCATCAGGACTACAACTTATGCAGAAATGAGAAGGAAAATTTATTTTTCAAAAAAGGATGGATACTGATGAAATATGCATAGAGTGATATAGCAGTCACACTTTTTTTTGTCTTGAGTAGCCTGGCTAAACTGTGGTGATTAGATTTTCTAAAGCCTGCCATAGATAGATCGAATCTCATCCGGTTCAGCCGGATCAGCCAAGATTTGATCCTTGTATGGGCAGGCTGATTGTACCCAAGTCAATCCATCAATTGACTTGGGTAAAACCAGCAGGTTGTATTTTTAGCATGCAATTGATGATAGCAGCTATAGCCGATAGCAATAATCATTGTGCTCTCCCTGCAGGGAAGGCTCCCCGCATTCCCCCCTCGCCCCCTTCCCGCCAGAAGAAGACAATAGCTCTGCGGGAGGGATTTCCCCATCAACATCCATGGTTGCAGGAAAGAAAATGACATCATCTATGGCCTGCCTAAGCCAAGTGTGATATTGAAATAGCCAACAGAGACAAGTGTTATTTAGTGGAGGACAGTAAATGTAGCCAAGCATATTTTGAGGTATATTAAATGTAGATAGATCAGCACAACATTCTACTGGGCAAACTGCTAAATACCGAAAGTCTTCATCAACTCTGTTGAATCGAGCTTCTTCTCTTGGAAGGGCTCCACGACCAAAAATGGGCTCCAGGTAGACCCATTTCCTCTGAATCTGGTTGAGATTTTGAAGATACTCATCGAGTTCTGCCAGTTTTTTCTCCCAAATGGATACTTTATCCTCAAAACCTTTGTAGTAGGGAGAGTCTTTCAAAGACTGGAGGAGACAACGGTTGTCCCCCACCTGATTGACAATGTCTTTCCAATCTTTAATTAGCTTTATCATCTGTTTATGGCTGTCCTCATAATCCGTTAAGGTAAACACCGCACCAGTCCCCCAAATGTCCAGTTCTCGTAGGGCTTCTCGAATTGTTATTTCTCCTTGGGCTCGACTGTTCAAATCCTAGCAATTTTAAAAATAAATTCATTATGACAATATATAAACAGGAAAATAGAAAAAGAAGACAAAACATAGTCATGTCTAGGACCTGTTTTGATGCCAGATAAGTTTTCTATTCCTATATAAGTCTATGGGAATGTAAAAGCTGCTTATATAATGGGTCAGCTGCAGGGAAAATGCACCTAAAATTTAATTTAAAATGATATCACAAGAATCTCAAGCTGAAGCTCCCTGGGTTTCAGAGCCATTGGAGCACTGTACATGTGAGTGTGCACACTTGCTGGTACCTCTAGGTATCTGCTTTTAATATCTGCAGCCCAACTGCCACATTAAACTGACAAAAGGGATACTTTAATAAATACAAAACCAACATTATTTCCAACTGTTTCAATTTAAGCTGATTACAGGTGTGAAGTTGCAGTTCAGCACTGACCCAAATCCTAAAGTATCTTTACATTATACTCACTTTGAGTTCTGAAGCTTTTGATATTATCATATCAGATACTTTTAGTAAATCTCCAAACAGCAACTTTTCCAAAGTAGTTCCCTTTGGAAGTCCAAGAAGTCTAAAGAGGTCAAGCCAATGGTCTTGTGACAAGTGCTCGCCACGAACATACTTAAGGACAGGAACCACCAGCTGTGAAAAAATCAGCAGGACAATTATGTTAACTGTGCAAAACAAAAATAACAATATGTATATATCATTATACTTCAGTGTTTGACACAATTCTGCTGCATAATTTAGATGAGACCCAGCTGTTGGCATGTAAATGCATCTTACTAGACTTATTTTCCTTTGCCATTCACTCTGCAATCAGATCATTTAGTCTTTAAAAGTCCTTGCTCTAATGTCTAAATGTTTCTAGGAGGCTTATCGACACATGGTAAATAGTGCTCTGAACTGCCAAAGAACTTTCTGCACCAGTCAATGATAAATGATTTCTAATGACCTGCAAAAATAACAAGGGCATATATAGTGCAGAACATGGGAAATGTATTCTATATAGCCGAATACACTTAATTTTTTATAAAGACAAAAGCAACATGGCTGTGGAATGATCTTTGTTATAATTGAGAGTGTGTGAAAAATATTTTTCCTTTTTAAGCTACTTTTCAAATAAATTTTTATCACTCTTTCAGCATGTGACCAAGAACCGTTCTATATCAGCAAAGTAGGTGTTGAACAAAAGCACCCTCCTATAGCTCCACATGAACAGAAGCCTTACTTTAACCCCAGATGCCAGCATGCTCTGTAACAACACCAGCTTTCCGTTCCTCATCCTATATGAACATACGTTATACCGAGCCTAAAAAAAACGTGAAACTACTTAAAAAGCGATACTGGCACTTACCATAAAATCTTTTTCTTGGAGTCCTCTGAGGGACAGAGAAAGGCTTTCAGGTTATACTGCCGCCTACAGAAGGATTGAACACTGGCAAACAAAAACCTGTAGGTCAGCCTGGGATAATGCCTACTACCACCAGCATGCCTCACATATGTAGCAAAGCAGTACCAAAAGAATAATCATTAAAGGTGGTGGTGGGGTTATATCCTTCAAAGCAGTCCAAGAAAAGGGTTTTACAGTGATTACAAAAATCCACTTCTCTTTCTCATCCTTTGAAGACACAGGAAGCACAGATCTAGCAGAGTGTGTGTGGACAGAAAAGGGTGGAACCAGATCCGTTATAACTATAACCTCAATGATGTTCTGTTTGAGCCACCCAGAGATGGAGAAAAGAAAAGTCAGTGAACTGTACAGGGACCATCTGGGATGAATTATATAAAGAGGTGATAACCAGGAACTACTACAGGGTATTTCCTTACATATTTACTTTTATTAATTTATCAAGTACAAACACAACAATTATAAAGCACACTTTTCCCCAGACAATGTTTTCCAAAAAAATCGGAACTAGGCTAAGCTGGTATTAGCCTTACATCTCACCATCTGGAATGACCAAAAGGGAATTTGTTTTTCTGAAGCTTAATGTTGAGGTAAAAAGGCAGAAATTACCTTAGGTAAGAAGAAAGTTTTGGGCCTCAAAACCACCTTGTCTCTGTGCAAGATCATAAAATATTCCTTGCAGGATAACGTCACCAGTTTAGAAACTCAAATCACAGATGTTGGTGGCTGCAAGGAACACCACCGAGTAAGAAAGGAATGTCTCTAATGGGTTGAAACAGTGGTTTCTCAAATGCACAGAGAATCGGATTCAGAACCCCATCAAGCCACAGGGGAACGACAACGGCTACATGAGAGACTCCCTGTAAAAAGGTCCTAATCAAGAGGGAGAGACCAAAGTCGCAGATACAAGATAGAAAGGGCAGAAAATTGACCTTCAATAATCCTGGTCGAGGTCCAGCTGTAAGGACAATCTGTGAGGGGAAAAAGCCCCAATACTCACACCATGTGAAGTATGCCTTTCATGTCTGACCTTTCAGAAATTAGACTTTCTAGCTTTTAATACTGTAGAAACACCAATTCAGAGATGCCCGTCACTCAGAACCTCATGGCTTCAAACAAGTGTCCTTAAAGCAAAATGGTAAATCAGTTCGTGAGAAAGAATCTGGACAAACTGATAGAGCCCACAAGGCATCCACCACTTTTCAGGGGAGGAAAGGAGTAAATTAGGGTGTATTGATCACATGGAGTCACCAGCGCATCCACTGATTCCACTAGATAGAGATTCCATTGACCTGGAGAAAATTTGGTCTAGTTATTTGTTGAACCTGGAGTCCAGAAGGTGAACATCCAGTGCTACCCATCAATGACATAGGTCTGGCAATACCTCTGGGTATAGGTATCACTCCTCCTAGGTCCAGACATTGATGAAGTCTGCCTGCCCGCTGTCTAAAAAGCACACTGCAACATGAAATTCTGCCCAGGACATGATGTAATATTCCTTCCTTGCCGCAGCAAGATGGTTTCTGTGCTGCAGTTAAACTGAATCTAAATTGTATGAGCCTCCAACAGGATAGTCCAATGTTTTAAAAGACAGCCATATCACCCATAGCTTCAGAATCCTGATAATGAGACAAGAATTCTCTGAAAACCAGGTCCCATTAACTTACAATGTGCCCTGGACTCTTCTCCAGCCAACAGGTTGTGAGGATCTTCCAGAAGGTGGGAAGGAAGGACTTCACCAATTTTACAGCCTGATTCCTGAGCTACCAAGCCAGGGAAAACTGAATCTCTGTGTCCAAGTGGTAATTTCAAAGGCTTGAAGGACTTGTCCCACAACAACAGAAAGTGTTGTGGAATTATGAAGTGAAACTGAACAAAGAGGACTGCTTTCAAGGAGACTACCATAAGACCCAAGACTCCCATGCAAAAGTGAAGAGTATGATGACTCTTGGACTGGATAGTCTGAATGTGAGATTGGAGAGTCTGAATTTCTCCAGCAGAAGAAACATTGTAGCCTGCACTGTGTCCAGGATAAGACCCAGATATTCCACATGATTTGGTCGCAGAAATGATTTCTGAACGTTTAGGATCCATCCAAACCACTGTATTGTCTGGACGGCCAAAGCCACATGGTCCAACAAAGCCTGTTTTGCCAGCTTCCTCAACATGTCTATCTCCTTGCCGATCAGCATGTGCCGGGGTCATCCATTGGCCGGCACACGCTGATTGACTTCTGCTGTGACAAATCACAGCAGAAGCAGTATGATTTGATATGTGATTTCTTCAGAATCCTAAAGATTTGCTGCATAAATGATGAATATACAGCTTTTTATAGAGAACACCTGACCACTTACATCACTTTGTGGTTTGAAGGCATTCACAGTCTAATGATCATATCATAGGTATACAGACACACATATGGTGGACATCAAGGATTCATAACTACATGTCTTCATCTTGCCAGTGTATTGGCATTTCCTACACTTTGCTGTGGAACCCCTACACCACCAGTTTGTGGCCCTGCTTTTTGACTTTGTGTGCTCTCTCAGGTGTTCACTAAGGTGCTTGCTCAACTACTAGCTCTGCTTTGCTCTTGTGGCTTCAATATTGTGGAATATATAAGCTGGCTATAGACAGTTTGATTTAATTCAGCTAGTGAGCTGAAAGAAAATTAACAGATTCCTCCATCCAAGCAAACAAGGTAGATGGAGGAGTCCCCTCACTGGGACACTGTATTCGGACAAGGATTCCCGCGACTGTTGGAATACACTGATCAGCAGCTGCAACTTATTAGTGGCAGCCATTGATCAAGGAATGTTTTCCAACTTCCAGCAGATCTAAATTTGACCAGTTCAGCAGGGACCTGACAAATTTCAATCAGTGTGTGGCCATCCCTGTTTGACAGAAATCAATGGTCAAAAGTTTTCGCATGAGCCCACATTTAATGTATTTAAGAATTTTTTAACCAGTAAGGACCACCCTATAGCAGATGTAGTGCTACGGGGCGGCTGCTCTGTGCAAAATCATATATATATGTGATTTTGCACATCCTGATTTAGGGGGCATACACATGCTTCCGGCATGCTGCTTCTGTTGTGATTTGTCACAGTAGAAGCCAATCAGCGTGTGCCGGTGGTCATTCATTCAGAACACAGCTGCCTATGTTGAGGAAGCAGCCAAAGCAGGCTTTGTTGAACCATGTGGCTTTAGCTATCCAGACAATTCAGTATTGTATTGCAGAATACATATCAGCCTTAATTTATGAAGAAATTAGATTTTTTTATTTTTTTTATTGGATATGTTTTAAAGCAGAAAGTAAATAATATTGTTATTTTTTGGCTGTCTTTATTGTTTATAGCGCAACAAATAAAAAAACCCAGTGGTGATCAAATACCACCAAAAAAAAAAGCTCTATTTGTGGGAAAAACTTACAAATTTAATTTATGTACAGCATTGCATGACCTCCCAATTGTCAGTTACAGGAATGCAGTGCCATATAGCAAAAAAATGGCCTGGTCAGGAAGGGGGTAAATCCTCTGGAGGAGGTCAAGTGGTTAAAAAATATATCCTAAAAGGTACCACATTTTTCTACTGTCAGTAGAAAATTTAAAATATCCTTACTACCGCTTTAATTTGTCTTTAGGATGATGTTCAGTAACTTTAAGAAAACATCTGAGCCCATATCAACGACTAAACTACCCTAATAATGGCTCTAGTTCTCTTAATCCAGAAGTAATTACACACTTACAATACAATTAGATTCCCATATAAACTATGCTCAGAATAGAGCCATCTGCTGCTCCTTACAGATCTCAGCAAGAAATGACTTCAAAATCCCAAATGATGTACCTTATATTTGTCAATTTCTGCCTGTAACTTCACAGACATGGTAGTGTGCTCCTCCATTTTCCTCAGTCTGTCGTGCCAAGACAGCAAAAACTCCTCAAAGCTGTAATATCTGCTCCTGGGAATGAAACAGATGGTTGAAATGGTTCATCCTCCATGAGAACAAAGAACAACTGTGCTCCAATTAAAATGCAGAACTCAACTCAAATTAGGAAATTGCTGACATCAATAAATACAGTATATACTAATTGTCATTTTCAGTGTGGGTTGAGCTGTTTTGGGTTTGGTGGGCAATCAGAGTAGTCTGATCCACAATACAAGAATACTTGGCCTATGTTAACTGATCCTGCAGTATAATGCAGTTCCAGCCGCCATGATGGCCCAGCTGTGATAGCAGAATTGCCATGGCTTTTTTTGTTCTCCATGCTAAAAATCAATGAACCGAAATCTGTAAAATGACTGCTTACAAAAAAAATTTGTCAAATTAAAGGCTCGCTGTAGCGAACAATGCTATATTCTGGCAACTGTATGAAGTCAAAACCTGTAATTAGTAGTAGTATTTTGTTTACAATTTTCTTTTCCATTTTACAGGCTTTCATTAATATTTTTCTCTCCTGTTTAAACATAAACCAAGCTGTCCAAAAAACCTATTGGTAGAACATAAAAATGTCAAACAGAGGTAGGCTTTAATTCGTTACTTAAATCTCATTTAGACCCCGTTTACACTTGAGCATTTTTCAGCTCGAAGCTCAAGAACAAGTAAAATGCCATTATTTACAATTGCCCCTGTTCACACTTGAGCATTCTGTCACCTGTAGCAAAATGCCTGTTGCTTAACCAGTTGCCGCCCGGCCTATAGCCAGATAGCGGCTGGGCGAACAGCTCGTCCCCCCGGGGGGACGCCATGTGGCGTCCTTTCCGGAACACGCATTGTGCATGCCCGCAGGGCCGCGCTGCAGTGCGATCTGTCACCGGCCGTGTACCTCAGACACGGCCGATGACAGATCTGTGTATTGGCCCCGTTGTCAGTACCATGTGACCTGCTGTGACCAATCACAGCAGGTCACATGACAGTAGTATACAATGGATGGCTTCCTTTCATGCCATCAATTGTATACTAGTGTGTCTAGCTGTGAATGGTCACAGCGATCACAAGCACAAGCTGGACCAATTACAGCTCAGCTGTGTCATGTGATTAGCCATGGCCAAATCACAGCTAATCACATAAAAAAAACCCTGAATTAAATCGATTTCATTCAGGTAAAATTCTTGCTTATAGCAAAGTAATTCTTTGCTATAAGCAAATTGTGTAAACAAAAAAAATACTGATCACTTCCCCAAAGTAGTACAATGTTACTATAGTAACATTATAATACTTTGGTCATAGTGAAATATGAGAAAAAAATCTTAAAAAAAGAGAAAAATGTAATAAAAAAAAAAATTAAAAATAACAAAATTTTATTTTTTTTTTTTTTTTCGTACTATCACCAGTCAGTGTCCCTGATCACCACCATCTCAATTATATGACGCTGTACTGCACTGGTGACAGTATGTAAAAAAAAAAAAATAGTGAAAATAATTTTTTTCATTTCTTCAGTTTCCGAAAAATGATGACAAAAAAAATTACAATTTCAAAAAACTCGCCATGCCTCTTATGAAATACGTCGGACTGTCTACTTTGCAAAAAGGGGTCATTTGGGGGATATCTGTACTGTTCTGACATTCTTGAACCTCAAGAAATTAGATTGGCTGTCAGTACTTCAGGATTGATCAATTTTCAGATATATCCCATAGTTTGTAAACTCTATAACTTTCATACAGACTAAATAATAAATACTAATTTGGGTTATTTTCACCAAAGAAATGTAGCAGAATACATCTTGGCCTAAATTTATGAAGAACAATTATTTATTTTGCAAACTTTTATAACAAAAACAAAGAAAAACATGGTTTTTTTTAATAGCAAAAAATAAAAACCCCAGTGGTGATTAAATACCACCAAAAGAAAGCTCTTGTTCTGTAAAGAAAATGATAAAATTTTACTTTGGGTACAGTGTTGCATGACCGCGCAATTGTCATTCAAAGTGTGAGAGCACTGAAACCTGAAAATTGGCCTGGGCAGGAAGGGGGTAAAAGTGCCCTGTATGGAAGTGGTTAAAGAAGGACTTTTCAGGTAGATCTGAGCATAGTGTCCCCATAGAATTGAATGGAAAACGCCTGAACAGTGGGAATGAGAATTTTTTTCAAGCATTTTATTCAGGCGTTTTCATCTCATACAGCAGCTATTTCTATTTCTATCAGCGACAGCAAAACCGCCTAAATGAAAAATGCCTGAAAAAACACCTAATAAAATTTGCATGGCAATTGGAAATAATGGGATTTTACTTGTTGAGCTTCGAGCTGAAAAACGATCAAGTGTGAATGGGAACTTAAGCATAGCTGTCTAATTAAAACTACCCTGTCCACCAGGTGACACAGCTGAGCAATTTCACCACAGAACTGAACAGCACTGTCACTTTGTTAAAAGGAAAAAGTAATGAATCTACAGGTAATAAAACTATGTTATAGGGGAGACAAAGAATAAGAAAAATGGTGTGGTAAAGATGTTTATTCAGCTTATATTTTGATATTCTTGTTCTTCCCTGTGCTCCTCATCAATTCTCTAATTAAGTTTTTAAAAGAAACCTGTTTTCATTACATACCTCATTTTGGAGGTATGGGACAGGCCAGCATGGAACTGTACAAAGCTACCTGAAACATCACAGTACCCTGCCTAGGTGCTCTCTCAAAAGCCTTCAGTCCTGATGAAAGCAGTGGGCTGCCTCTTGCAAAGAGTTATGCACATGTATAAATGCCTAAGCCTCCATGATTTAAAGACATGAAGTCCAGTGAATAAAAGGGGCAGGCTAGGGACAGTTAGGCTGGAGGGAAAAGAGCTAGATGATGTTGGACCAAGTAAGGTAAAATAAGTTTTTGTTTACTTCATGAGGCTTGTGCATCACATTGTAATTGGATTAGGTACTTATTTAGACCGTCATACAAAAGCCTACAGTTGTACTTTAACCCTTTACAGAAACAAACTGTTTGGGAAATGGGAAAAAATGGCACCCAGTGACCAATAAAAGAGGGAGTTCCTGATGCTTGACTCAACAAGCCTACTAAGCTAAGTATTCAGAGACATGGCAAGCACAGAGGCAGTGCCAGTGGCTCTGGACCTGGAAAGGACTCCACAACTAACTCACAAAAATTGGGTGTGGAAAACGGCCCACAAGAAACTCTGTTCCCAAAAGTCTCTTCCAGGCTAGCCCCACAATATCCAGCCATCAGGATCCAGATGCAAAGCTCAAATTCCAGGCAGAGGATGGCAGCACTGGATAGTTGTTGATTCAAGGGGAAGTAGAGAGGAGTGTTGCTTGAAGAAAAATTTAAGAAAAAAGTACTATTGAATAAATTAGCCTTTACAAAAACAGAAAAAATGTTCTAATGTAATAAGATATAATCCTCCTAGGACACTAGCAAAAAAAACTGCTAGTAGTCAGAGGGTTATACTCTGGGCTTAGGAACATTTTTTTTTTTTTGGTTGCCAGTGCCCAAGCAGTATAACCTGAAAGTTAAAGATTTATTATGCCACTCAGTGGACAAGAAATACATTTTGTTTAAACTCTAATCTCATTAGGGACCTAGTAATATATTCCCATAAATACTAGCTAGGAACTACTATTTTTTAAAGGGACACATGGCTTGGTTTGACTTTTATGTATCAGGTTTCTAATTAATTTTTTGAAATGCTTCGCCATAACATCATGATCTTAAAAACGATATTTAACAAAGAGACAGGTCTGCAGTAAGCTACCTCATCTGGATTTATACCAGTTTCTAAAAACATAGTCACACATAGTCACATTGGCAGCAGACATAGTCACTTTGGCAACTGCATACCTTCTACAAAAAATTTATTATACAAATTGGTTACACTAGACAGGTTTTAAGGCCCTGGACCTAATGCGTTACCTAGAAATTTCACAAAATTTTTACAAAAAGAAATTGAACCATTTATGTGGTAGTTAAGTCACTTTAAGGAGCTAGTGTACCTGAAAGAGATCCAGTCTTCTCTTGCCTTATCATTAAATTCTTGATAGAACTCTTCATACAGAGACCAGGTTTTCATGCAGCCGTCAATATCAAGCCGTATCTCCTCTGCTATGGAGAAGTCCAGAGCCTCCAGTTCAAAATGCAGACAGTCCTCACTGTGTGAAGTGATATGATTACAAACATGAGAAGATTGTTCAGCTTTGTCAAGCAGCAGTAAAAAATAGTAGCAATGTCATACTGCTTACTGAGACATTTCCTAAAGTCTCATTCATACATGATCCCCTTTGTTACTAAAAAGTAGCACTGAACCAATATAAAACATGCCATGGGACTATTACTTAGAGATAAACAACCCTAAAATGGTAAATCTGATGGAAATGTGTGTAAAACTGTTACAGTTACATGACTATTATTGCAAAGAGAGTGTTCATAATCAAGTAGGTGAATTAATCTGTATCAATATCTTGCTGAACACATCCCATGCGGAGTTTCTTCATAATACAAATCAGACAGACCTGTGTATTTATGATTGGTTAAGTCTCAGAGCTCATTGACACCTAGTCGGTCTGCTACAGTGCATTTAGCACATTTGCATTATGTTCCACAATAATGTAAGTTGCATTAAGTCAGTCTATATATTTGTAGTATATTTTACTGCAACTTCCTGGTGTGAATGGGTCCATTAACAGATTTCCACTTTTCAAGCGTAGTCCAAACCAATACAATTATTCTGGGCTACTACTGAGGCAGCATCAAAGGACATGCTTAGTGTTTAATATTAAAGTGCAAGTCCAACTTTTGTTTTTAGATTTGGATAGAGTGGTTAGAACCCCTGTCAAGTTTTACTGCTATCCAGGGCTTAGTTGGAGATACTTCCCCTCACTTAGGGCTCATTCACATTAGCACTGTTGGTTTGCACTGAGCAGAGCTGTTCAACACAGTTCCAACAAAGGCAATCTTCTTTGTGCCTTATGGCTTCAGTTCACAGCAACAAGCAGCATTGGTGTGCACTGAAAAAAAACTGGATATGTGAATACATCACAACATGCTGCTGTGAATAGGATTGCAAAGAAGTTAAAAAAAAAAAAAAAAGTAAACTGCAATATTTTATAACAAGGATAGCAGTGCATGTTTACAGTGAACATCAGTGTACACATATTACAAGCACAATAATGCACATTGTGTTTTAAATGAGCCATTACTGTCGCTATGATAATGGTTTCATACACAAAAAGTGAGGGAATATCTCCAACAGCACAGACAGCAATTGTTTTTGTTTTTTTAGTAGATGGGGAGGAGACTAGAACACCCCCTTAAAATTGCACTGATGTCTCTGTTGCCATTAGAGATTTTGCCTCACTTCCTGTCTACTTTCCAGTGTGACAGTAACTGAGAAACACATGACACTCTCCTGCTCTCCCATAATTTTAGAGAGAGACATTTTTAAGTTAAAGCAAAACTGTAAAGAGCTAAAACAGAGAGAGGCGGTATCTAGCCTGGATAGGGAATTGTTTAGTGTAAGGTCTACTTTGTTAGTCAAAGTTCATATAGCCGGGACATTATACACGGGAAGTTTTCCTTCCGGAATCCCTGAAAGAATAGAAGAATGTATCTACAGGATAATCTTCAACATCTAAACTCTGTCTTGAAACTATTTTGACCAATAACGTACTAATAAACGTTATGTTGTAGTTTTGCCTATGTTTCTTATATAGACATTCCATAAAATAGGCTTGGCTTACATCAGTTTCTTCTTTGTTGCTTCAAGCTCATCAAACTCCATTTTCTTCTCTTTTATAGACTGAGCACTTTTTTGTAAAATGTCTTCATTTCCACTTTCAATTATATCATCGCCAGGTTTAAACTGATCCCAGCGGGCTTTGAATTTTTCTAGTTCTTGGGTGTAAATCTTTACTCTTGCCTTCACATTTTCCTTCATTATTTCAATCTATATGGACATTTAAGAAGTTAAGAAACAGAACTATGACTGGATTTGTTAGCAATGTGAATAATCAAAAATGATCAAATATTCTGTTGTTGTACGCCTGATCAGAATATATTCAATACATCTTTGTGATACATGCAGATTTCCCCATGTTTTGTCTCTTTAAAAAGGCAGAATGAAAATAGGAATGGGAAGGAAGAAAATGAGACTGGGAGGAATAGGAGAGATGGGATATTGAGAAGTGGGATGGAAGAGGGAAAATGAGGAGTAATGGAAGGTAGGAAGCAAGATGAAAAGGAATAAGGAGGGAAGAGGTGACATTGGATGAAATGGAAAGGTGGAAGGGAGACGGGGAAGAATAGGAGGGGGGAAGTGAGATGGGAAGGAGTGGGAGGGAGGAGGGGAAATGAGGAGGAATGGGAGGGGAACTGAGGGGGAATGAGATTATGTAGAATGGAAAGGAAGAAGGGAGATGGGGAAGAATGGGGGGGGGAGATAGTGAGATGGGTAGGAATGGAAGGGAGGAAGTGATATTGGGAGGAATGGGAGGGGAAGTGATATGGGAGGAATGGAGGGGAGGAGTGATATTGGGAGGAATGGTAAAAAGGAAGTGAGAAGGTGAGGACTGGAAGGGAGGGAGGGAGGAAGGGAAATGAGGAGGAATGGGAGGAAAGATTTGAGATGTGGAGGAATGGTAGGGAGATAGTGAGACTGGGAGGAATGAGAGCAAGGAAGTGAGATTAGGAGGAATGGGAAAGAGGAAGTAAGAAGGCAAGGAATGGGAGGTAGGAAGGGAAATAAGGAGGAAAGGAAGCAAGGAAATGAGATGCGGAGAAAAAGCAGGGAGGAAGTGGAATGGAAAGGAATCAGAAGTAGGAAGTGAGATTTGGAGAAATAGGAGGGAGAAAGTGAGATGGGAAGGAAAGGAGGTAAAGATATTTGGGTGAATGGGATGGAGGAAGTATTATTGAGAGGAAAGGGAAGGAAAAACGTGAGATGGGGAGGAATGGAGGGAGGAAATTAGATGGGGAGGAATGGGAGGGAGGAAGCGAGATGTGGAGCATTGGGAGGGTGGACGTGAGATGGGGAGGAAGTACAGTTTGGAGGAATGGGAAAGAGGAAGGGATATGGGTAAAAATAGGAGGGAGGAGATGAGATGCGGAGGAATGGGAGGGAGAAAGCAAGATGAGGAGGAATGGGAGGGAGGAAGCGAGATAGGGAAGAATGGAAGGGAGGAAGAGGAATAGGAAGAGGAGGAGGAAGCGAGATAGGGAAGAATGGGAGGGAGGAAGCGAGATGGGGAGGAATGGGAGGGAGGAAGCGAAATGGGGAATGGGAGGGAGGAAGCGAAATGGGGAGGGATGGAGGGAGGAGCAAGATGGGGAGGAATGGGAGAGGGGGAGGGAAGGGTGAAGAGGAAGATCGTTCTTACCTGCTCCTTCACCATTAGCTGATGACTCTCTATCATTAATTCAAATTTATCCCACTTTGCCCTGAGATTACTAATGGTATCCAAGCCACTTCCTGCCACTGAGCGCAGTAACCTGTTTTTATCTTCAGCGTCTTTAAATAAAGGAAGTATCTGCAAAAAAACATATTTTAAGCAAGAAAACACATTCAGACTTCATCTATGTGAAGCTAACTTTGGACAGACTGCTGTCACAATCTTATGTTACTTTCTGGAATATGCAAAAAAGGAGGCATGCTTTTTGGCTTTATAATTGTCTAGACCAGTGTTTTAGTGTACAACCACCGTCAGATTTTTCCGTCTTGATCAGCACTGCGGGCTATAGTCAGCAAAGCTGATCAGTGTATTCTAACAGTGGGGAAATCTCAAATGTGTGGATGGGGGAATCAGGTCAGTGTTTTTCATTCAACCCGCTGGCTGAACAAAAGAAACTGACTCATCTGTGGGCTGCTGTAGTTTTCCAAAGCAAATACTCCTTTACACATACTGTCTAGTATTTTAGCATGTCTCTTCATCGGTGCTGATAGAGAGGGGTAGCAGAGGGCAGACAAGGATGTTGGGTAGGCGCCCAACATCCTCCTTATCAACTGATGATGTCACTAATTGTTAGGACACTGGGGCTGAAAGGTTGTAATGAGGCACAATGAAACCCCATGGCTTTGTTTAACTAAAAGGCAGTCTTGATCCACTTGCTGAAAGGAGGATTCTGATAAGAGGAGAGAGTTGAGTAATAGAAGGATGAGCTCAATCTGCTGTTTCTTCCTTCACTGTTTAGTCACAGGCTGGGAAAGCGACAAGACCTTTAAGTGTTACATAACCAGAGAGGGAAAATCGTGTCTCCTGCCCTGCTGTATGGTTTAACAGAACTGTGTAAATTGCAGGACTGGATGAGCAGAAATACAAATCCTTTGACAGGTAAAAAGGTCATTCTTTGGTATGTCAAAGCTCCTCTACCATATACATATTTCAGCTGTGTATTTAGCGGTTTGCCTGGAGTTCAGGTTTAAACATCCAAATGGGTATTCTGTAATATGGTGTTTATAGGAAGCGGAGTGAGTTTAAATGGAAGTGTTATATCCCAGTGTGGATAACTGGCATGAGGATAATAAATAGCACCTCAGGTTTCTTAAGTTTCAACTCTCCATGTTTCTTGTTGGCTTCTCCAATCTCTTCAATACTCTGGGGTCGGCTGGACAACATCTCCATTCCGTCGGACACAAAACTATCAATCTCATGCAATTGTGCTGAAAAGAGACAACCATGAAGAGGTCAGTAACCTAAAAAAAAACTTTTTATCTTGTTTCCAATGTCCAGTAGTTTAAAACTCAATAGGACAATGATTATTATTTAAAGTATAACTTTGGCTTGGATAGAGTGGAGATGGTTTAGAACCCGTCAGGTTTTTATTGCGGTCTGTTACCCCATGGAGATTCATTATACCTATTTGTCCTGTTAGCCATTATACCATTATCAGCGTAAGAAAATCCAAAGTTTTAGGTTATCATCAAAATAAGAATAGAGGGGAAGTCTTCCAATGGGGACACTATTTTGCTGACCCTTGTGCAACCAGGAATTCACTTACATTGAAGCGATTTTTTTCCCTCACTTTCTCTTCTGGCTGTGGGCAGGAAATAAAGAAAAACTTCTCCAATGGGACAGGAGTTATAGCGCTTTCTCAGTCTATCCAAAATAAAATAAAGTTTTATCTTAGTCTAGTTCTGCTTTATTTTTAGCTTTTGAAGTTAAAAATGTGGATGCCGGCTGTTACTCCGGTACCCACACTCACAGGAGAATATCCTTGTTACTTACTCAAACCTGTTCAGTTATGAAATGTTGAGATGAAGGAGTGGCAATAGAGGTTAGGCAAAAAAAAAAAAAAAATAGAAACACTACATGATTTGCAGGTGTGAAAGTGACAATATGTTTTGCGCTGAAAGCGGAAGTGATGTAACATTCTTTTTCTTCCGCTGTGCGATGAGACACCTAGCTAACAGTTGGAAAGTCTCACTTTTAGCATTCACTGTGTGCGCGGCTAATGATGTGGAGCTGACTGAGCTTCAAAAGAGGGCAAATTGTTGTTGCCCGCTTATCTGGTGCCTCTGTGACTGGAGTTGCCAATTTATTTGCTGTGTCACGAGGCACAGTATCAAAGGTTATGACGGCATATAGAGTTTCCGGGAAGACATCATCTGATAAGCATAAGCGACAAAAGGACAGGAATGTGACGGGAATAAGAAAAAAACTGCTGCAAAAGTGACTGCAGAGCTCAATCTCAGTCCCGTGAAGACTGCATTCTGCATTCTGTGAATAAGAAAACTACAAGTCCTGATGGCCTTTTTGACAGTCAGCTTGTAGTTCTTAATGACCTACCATGGTGCTGTGAAGCGCTGTGGCAGTTCATTGAGGCTTCCTGTCAGTGTATCTGCTTGCCCTGTTTTGCATGGGCAGACAGATACACTGACAGGTCTGCAATGCTTTAGGGGCTTCAGAAACAAAAAACAGTAAGTGAACATTCTTTTTTACCTGCAAAAAAAATGTGCATTTGTTATTTTTTGTTAAAAGGTGAACTAATCCTTTAAATTGGTTTTAAAGCTTTGTGGGTTTTTTTTTTTTTTTTTTTTTTTTTTTTTTGCTAAAATAACAAACATGTTATACTTACCTGCTCTGTGCCGCTTCCTTTCCTTTGGTGGCACATGTGCAGGCTCGCTCCAGAGCCAGGCTGTGTGCAACCACAAACACACACAACATGGCTCGACTCCACCCCCTGGTCCCAGCATTTGATTGAGAGCAGCAGGAGCCAAATACTCTCGCTGCTGTCTCTGAGCCTGTGAGAGATGAGACAGAGAACCAGCATTGCTGCAGACAGGCACAGTGTTGGATTAATAACGGACCCAGGTAAATATTTAGGACGGGGAGTGGGGGGGGAAACTAGTGGAAGGTTTTTTTACCTTAATGCAGGTAATGCATTAAGGTAAAAAACCTTTTGGCTATAGAATCACTTTCATTTTCTAAATATCATGTTACAATGTTATAACCACGCCACAAAATACATACTACTCTTATCGGCTTAATACTGACCATACACATAACAATAAACAATCACTTGTAATTCTGTAATTTGTAAACAATCTTTACAGCTAAATGTTCTGTTAGAACCTCTTCTAATGAAAATGGTAATTTATTTATCTATTTACTAAATTGCACATTGTGGGATTTCTAAAATAATTCTTGCTAACAATTCTAAATAAAGTGTCTCAAACTGATATAATTTTGAATACTGTATCCTGCAATAACTTTCCACAGAACTAATTCTGGAGTTTTCCATTTTGACCAGTGTTTCTTACCTTGGATGGATCTTTTTAAAGATAATACTAGAGAATCAAACAACTTCTGAATGAGATCATCTATGATGGTCTTTACTGGATTACAGTTAATGGTCATGCAGTCTATCTTCATAGTGCTGGAAAAGAAATGATTAATATAAAAGCTGGTATTTCATGTTAAATTATAAAATTGTGCAACATTAAATATTAACTAGTAACACTAAAGTGTAAAATCTGAGAAGCAATGCATACAATGCACAGCTTACATGACAAGTGTTACCTACAGAACTCTGAGCTGGACACATCAAAGGAAACTGGGCCCTATGCTGGCCATATGTGGATCGAAATACCACTGGTTCAGCTGGGAGCGGCCAGATTTTGATCCATGTATTGGCACTGTGGTTGAACAGAAGCTGATCTACCGACAGACTTCTGTTCCATCAGCCTTTTAGAAAATTTCTGAATAATCAGCATTGCATGCTATAGCCTGCAGCACTGATCAGTGTTTTCTGATGGCGGAAAAGTCTCCCCGCTGTCAGAATACAATAATACAGTGGGAAGATTCACACATTCGAGGTGGACGGGGGAAACTGGTGAGTTTTTTTTCCATTCAAACCACTGACTGAATGGAAAAAAAAATTACCAAGGCAGCTCATACATTATTACAATTTTTTTTTCCGTTCAACCAGGTTGAACAAATGAAAATGCCTTGATTCCCCCCATTTGATGTTGATGGGGGAATCCATCCCACTGTGATATTGTATTCGGACAGCTGGGAGCCTTCCCAGCTGAAAATAAATAATTTTCCTTTACAGGCACTTTAATGTATGGGCATACTCTTATGTAGTGAAAAGGAAACTGCTTCAAGGTATTTGTGGGCAAAGCTCTACAGCTCTAGGCACTCATTCCACTACCAAACACAAGCATAGTAAAACAATGTGATCTCACCGTGATTTAGATCTGTCAGGAGTCAAAACTTCCCTGGTTTGCATTAGAAAATGCAAAGTATTGCTGAATGGCACCCGTGCCAAGTGAGCATGGCAGCCAATTGATACAAGACCCGGAAGCTAATGAAGATCACTGTAATATCAGTGTCTGCTACAGTGATTTACAGCTTCCACTGGGATCCCACAGGCATGGCACATACACTCACCAGCCGCTTCATTAGGTACACTTTGATAGTACCGGGTTGGACCCCCTTTTACCTTCAGAACTGCCTTAATTCTTCGTGGCATAGATTCAACAAGGTGTTGGAAACATTCCTCAGAGATTTTGGTCCATATTGACAATATAGCATCACGCAGTTGCTGCAGATTTGTCGGCTGCACATCCATGATGTGAAATCTCCCATATCAACACATCCCAAAGGTGTGCTATTGGATTGAGATCTGGTGACTGTGGAGGCCATTGGAGAACCGTGAACTCATTGTCATATTCAAAAGAACAGTATGAGATGGTTTGACCTTTGTGATATGATGCATTATCCTGCTGGAAGTAGCCATCAGAACATGGGGACACTGTAGTCATAAGGGGATGGACATGGTCAGCAACAATACTCAGGTAGGCCGTGTTATTTAAACGATGCTCAATTGTTACTAGGGGGCCCAAGGTGTGCCAAGAAAATATCCCCCACACCATCATACCTCCAGCCTGCACGGTTGATACAAGGCAGGATGGATCCATGCTTTCAAGTTATTTACGCCAAATTCTGACCCTACCATGTGTCGCAGCTGAAATCGAGTCTCATCAGACCAGGCAACGTTTGTCCAATTATCTATTGTCCAATTTTGTTGAGCCTGTGCAAATTGCAGCCTCCATTTTCTGTCCTTAGCTGACAGGAGTGGCACCACGTGTGGTCTTCTGCTGCTGTAGCCCATCTTCTGCAAGGTTCGACGTGATGTGCGTTCAGATATGGTATTCTGCATACCTTGGTTGTAACAAGAGGTTATTTGAGTTACTGTTGCCTATCTATCATCTTGAACCAGTTTACTCATTCTCCTCTGACATCAACAAGGCATTTTTGTTCACACGCTGGATATTTTCTCTTTTTCAGACCATTCTTTGTAAACACTAGAAATAGCTGTGTGTGAAAATTCCAGTAGATCAGCAGTTTTTGAAATACTCAGACCAGCCCGCATGGGAGCACCAGCCATGCCACGTTCAAAGTCACTTAAATCCCATTTCGTCCACATTCTGATGCTCAGTTTGAACTTCAGCAAGTTGTCTTCACCACGTCTAGATGCCTAACTACATTGAGTTGCTGCCACGTGATTGGCTGATTAGCAATTTGTGTTACCAAGAAAGTAAACAGGTGTACTTAATAAAGAGGCTGGTGAGTGTATATACTTACGTTGGTGCAGTGACTACATAAAAATTGCCACACCTACATTTCTGCTTTCAGTTGGTCATACACGGATCAAAATTAGTCCAGTTCCTGCTGAATCTCCTGCAATTCATTCCATGGGTGTCCCTGTTGGCTCAACAAAAGTCACTTTTTCAAATGAAACAGGCGTAAAATCGTCGGCTGAACATGCAGGCAGAAAATTCTCAGCCAAAGAGCTCCTGCATGCAGTCAGATGCTGACATTGTTTGCCGTAGAATTTTTGTGGCTGTCAGACTACAATAGTCAGCACACTGTTTAGCTTCAATAGGGGAGACCCACAATGGGGGAGATTTCTCTAATTCTGTGTGTGGGCTAAGCAAGAGACATCATGATGTATAAAACCAGATTTATATAAGCTTATTGGAGATCCCATTCTTAAAACTATGGATAATAATATGGAGATGCCCCCCTCTCTCTCCCCTCACCACCTTTGTAGCTATAACAGCCTCCAATCCTCCTCTCTACATGATTTTGATACAAGACCTGGAAGCTAATGAAGATCATTGTAATATCAGTGTCTGCTACAGTGATTTACAGCTTCCACTGGGATCCCACAGGCATGGCACATACACTCACCAGCCACTTTATTAGGTACACTTTAATAGTACCGGGTTGGACCCCCTTTTGCTTTCCGAACTGCCTTACTTCTTCATGGTATAGATTCAACAAGGTGTTGGAAACATTCCTCAGAGATTTTGGTCCATATTGACATGATAGCATCATGCAGTTACTGCAGATTTGTCGGCTGCACATCCATGATGTGAAATCTCCCATTCCAACACAATCCCAAAGGTGTGCTATTGGATTGAGATCTGGTGACTGTGGAGGCCATTGGAGAACAGTGAACTCATTGTCACATTCAAAAACCAGTATGAAATGGTTTGACCTCCCCTCACCACCTTTGTAGCTATAACAGCCTCCACTTCTCCTCTCTACATGATTTTGCAGTGTCAGCGGGAATTTGTACCATTTCAGCTAGATATTTCCCATACTCTTGCCACAAGGATGGAAGTTACCTGTTATGGAAAATCTCTTTGTATGCTGAAGCATTAATAGTACCCTTCACTGGAAACACCTGAACTCAATCATATGGAGAGCTGTGCAAATACTTCTGGCTATATAGTGTAGCACAAGAGAAAAAAAGTAGATAACCAGAAATTAGTATTTTGGTAGGTAGCACAGGTCATACAATTTCCTTTCCTTTCTGTGTCTCTTCAGTTGTCTGAAAATGTGCTTGAAACCAAGTGGTATCAGAAAAAGATGCTCAAGAATAAAATACCTTGGCAGTCGTTCAGCTTCTTTTCCTCTCATTTTAAGGGCCTTAAAGTTTTTCTCCCAGTCATGAACGTCACGTAAATGTTTTTCAATCAGGGTGTCCACATCCACTTGACCAATTACTACCCATTCCTGCCAACAAATGCAAATGGGATAAAAGTAAGCTTGCAGTGGGAGCCTTGTGCAGTGCTCCGTACCTTAAAACTTATTTGCAACCTCCAGATCCATGCACACACCCCGATACATACATTAAAGTAAGTTATTAAAATGTAGTTCTACTTTTGCAGTCAAATTGGGATAATGCCTACTCATTTATGCTTGTGACAAGGCCCCCCCCCCCCCCCCCCCCATAGCCTAACATGGCACCCTGGAGGGGATGAGCACACATGCCTTGGCTGTGCTGCTTAATGACACAAATTATACCACAGGTCATGTTTGGCAGGCAACACTGCCACCAAATGAAACCCATTCAAGTGAATAGGGCTATGGTTTTTCAAAGGTTAAAACAGTTGTCCTGAAGGTGGCATATCAACTCTGAGCCGTCTGTCAAATGCTTCTGAAAGGCGTTCCACTGCAGATCACTTTTAAAAGAAGTATAAGCTAGTCCTTGCAAAAATGTTTAAAAAAAGCTTCTTACCTGTTAAAATGCTCTTTTCTGAAAACTGGATATGAAAAATCTAACTTAAAGTGGTTGAAAACCTCAGACATGAAATATGAACAAAGAAAATCCTTCCATACTGTGTACTTGTTTCAATCCAGAGCACTAAATGTCATTTCTGTCTGCTGCCTGGTTCTTCTGATATACGCATGAGTCACTTCACTTGGTATATGTAAGGGTTTACAACCACTTTAGTTCTCCCTGTCTAGAAGGGGGCTGGAGTTGTGTGTCAAAATTGTGTGAATTGTGTTTACTGTGCTGGCTGATTTCATTATTGCATGTGTAGGTCTGTCTGTCCAAACAAAGGTTTAAAGTTTTCCAGGCTTGCCTGGCTCACTGTATGTTAATAAGTAAAAAAAGTAACAGTAATGGGGTAGAGTAGGAGGAAGTGAAATAAATAAATAAGATCAGGTTGTGCTTTAGCTTTTCCACCAGCTTTATGCAGCAATTTTGGTGAAATATTTTTATATCCCCTACAGCAGGGGTAGGCAACCCCTGGCACTAGTGCCGGAGGTGGCACGTGACAGAATCAAGGACGGCACCCAAGGGGAGTCCTGGGAGACTTTCACTAGCGGTGTACTTGCTCTCCCTCCGAACATTTCTCTCCCTCAGTATCCATGCGACTGGCTCGGACTGGAGGGAATATAGACAGAGAGGTTTATCATAAAATGGCTATTAACCCCTTCCACATCTTTTACGATTAACTCAATGCAAAGAAGGATTTAATGTTTAGGAAGATGGTTTTTCAAGGCTTTTCTGACATAACAGCTATTGGGTACTAATAATTTACGCTACCAGTCGCAAAGGCATTTAGCCACAGTGCAAATGGCAGAGGCAGGAATCTGCTGATTCTTGCTGATGTTTTTGACACCAGTAAGCAGTTAGCTGCAGCCGCCAAGCCTGTACAGTACACTATAATGACAGGTTACTGGGGGTTTCAGCTATTTGTGACTATTCACACAATCAGCGATTACCTGCAGCGATGGGTACTGGACACACACTTTGTGTGCATTCAGCAGCGATCACCACAGGTAATCACCGGTTGTGTGAACAGCCACAAATACAGTTGTGTTCAAAATAATAGCAGTGTGTTGAAAAAAAGTGAATAAAGCTCAAAATCCTTCTAATAGCTTTTATTTCCATACACACAAATGCATTGGGGACACTACACATTCTATTCCAAATAAAAACATGAAGACAAATATATCAAATTTGTGTTGTTCCTCTAAAAAAAATTGAAGAAAAGTGAATATTAGACTGTTCAAAAAAAAAAGTGTTTGTATTCTTCTTTACAAACTCAAACATTCACTATATAAACTGAAAAATGTTTGAAGATTTTGCTTTCCTTTGAATCACTTAATGAATATTTAGTTGTATAAGCACTGTTTCTGAGAACTGCTGTACATCTGTGTTGCATGGAGTCAACCAACTTCTGGCACCTGTGAACAGCTATTTCAGCCCAGGATGATTGGACTACATTCCACAGTTCTTCTCTATTTCTTGGTTTTGCCTCAGAAACTGCATTTTTGATGTCACCCCACAAGTTTTCTATTGGATTAAGATCCGGGGATTGGGCTGGGCACTCCATAACGTCAATCTGTTGGTCTGGAACCAAGATGTTGCACGTTTACTGGTGTGTTTGGGGTCGTTGTCTTGTTGGAACACCCATTTCAAGGGCATTTCCTCTTCAGCATAAGGCAGCATGACCTCTTCAAGTATTCTGCTGTATTCAAACTGATCCATGATCCCTGGTATGTGATAAATAGGCCCAACACCATAGTATAAGAAACATCCCCATATCATGATGCTTGCGCAACCATGCTTCACTGTCTTCACAGTGTACTGTGGCTTGAATTCAGTGTTTGGGGGTCGTCTGACAAACTGTCTCCGGCCACTAGACCCAAAAAGAACAATCTTACTTTCATCAGTCCACAAAATGTTACGCCATTTCTCTTTAGGCCAGTCAATGTGCTCTTTGGCAAATTGTAACCTCTTCAGCACATGTCTTTTTTTCAACAGTGGGACTTTGCGGGGGCTTCTTGCAGATAGCTTGGCTTCACATAGGCGTCTTCTAATTGTAACAGTACTCACAGGTAACTTTACACCTTCTTTGATCTTCCTGGAGCTGATTGTTGGCTGAGTCTTTGCCATTTTGGCTATTCTTCTATCCATTCGAATGGTAGTTTTTCGCTTTCTTCCACGTCTTTCAGAATTTGGTTGCCATTTTAAAGCATTTGCGATCATTTTAGCTGAGCAGCCTATCATTTTCTGCACTTCTTTATATGTTTTCCCCTCTCCAATCAACTTTTTAATCAAGGTATGCTGTTCTTCTGAACAATGTCTGGAACGACCCATTTTCCTCAGAATTTCAGAGAGAAATGCACTGTAACCAGCATGTACAAAATTTGCTGCCTGCCTGCCTGCCTTCCTTCCTTAAATAAGGGCAATAATTGCCACCTGTTTTTCAAAGAATGAATGACCTCACTAATAGAACTCCACACTGCTATTATTTTGAACATGCCCCTTTCAATCAGTGATTCAATTACACAGAATCAGCAGCATGCATGTCATGACTGTTGAGTCTGTTGGATTTCTATTACTCTACTACACCTGCTAGTAAATTATTTGCCATGTAGAAATATCATTTCTACCAAAAACAGTGATTGATCAGGTTAGTGATGTCTGACTGCTATTATTTTGAACACAACTGTAGCTACGGCCGCCCGCCACTTGTCATAAAAGTGTACTGTACAGGCTTGATGGCTGCAGCTAGCAGTTCACAGGTTTCAAAAACAACAGCAGGAATCAGCAAACAGAGTTTGGCAACTACTACTTTAGAACTTCTATTGGGAACTACAACTTCAGAACAAATATTGGCAACTGACACCTTAGAAAAAGGAATTAGGAATTGCAAGAATTGGGACTCAATTCTCCAATACTACTGCATGGTACAGCTGGTGCTGTCTTGACTGGAGCATTGGTTGGTGTTCATTTCTGAAGCATCTATGTGGAAATGGCCTGGTCTATTTATGCCAGAAGGTACAGAAATTGGGGCTGATCTGAGGCTTGAAGGAGAAATTAGGGATGATCTGGGATGTGAAAGTGCAGGAATTGGGGTGGTCTGAGGTGTGAAAGTGCATTCATTAGGTGATCAGAGGTGTGAAAGTGCAGGAATGGCGGTGATTTCAGGTGTGAAAGTGCAGTATTTGAGGTGAGCTGAAATGTGAAGGTGCAGTAATTGGGGTGATATGCAAGGATGCAGGAATTTGATATGATCAAAGGTGTAAAGGTGCAGGTATTTGGTTGATCTGAGGTGGGAAAACGCAGGAATTGGGACTGATCTTTGGCCTGAAAGAACAGGAATTGGGGATGATCTGGGTTGTAAAAATGCAGGAATTGGGGTGAACGGAGGTCTGGAGGTGCAGAAATTAGGACTGATCTGAGGTGTGAAGGTGCAGGAATTGGGGCTGATCTGGGGTTTGGAGATGCAGGAATTGGGATGATCTAAGCTGAGAAGGTGCAGGAATTGTCGCTGGAGAATGGGTGTGAATGTGAAGAAATTAAGGCTGATCTAAGGCCTGGAGGTGCAGGGATTGGGTCTGATCTGAGATGTTCAGGTGCAGGAATTCGGGATGATCTGAGGCGTGATGGTACAGGTATTGGAGCTGATCTAAGGCCTGAAGGTACAGGAATTGTTGCTGGAGAACGGGGTGTGAAGTTACAAGAATTGAGGTGAGCTGAGGTGTGAAGGTGCAGAAATTGGGGCCAGGTGTTCTCCAGTGCTCAAGATTTCCAACAAGTTGCACTTTGAAATTTGCGATCAACAAAACAACCGTATAATTACAAAGTCAGTGATCCTAATTACAATTTCTGCAAGGTGAGGAAAGTTCTGAAAGCATAACCTGTTGGGGGAACTTGTAATGTTAACCATCCTTTAAAATAATAACACGGTCATGTACACCTGACAAAACAAAGGTATAGTGTGAGGAAAAACTATGTCATGTAGATATTACCAGCTCTGCAAGTCTCTGAAAAATTACAGAGCACAGAATACCTCAGTGACTCTGCAACCAAACTCTTGTTATGTAGACTGAAATAATATAATCTAATTACAGCATCTGGTGTTGTTGCATCAATTTCTCATACACTTATACCTGAAAAGGCGCTAAATCTGCTGAAAGAATTTGCAGCATTAAGGACAGTACCACTGGCTATATTGTGATCTCACCACACATCTTGTGTGTACTTATGCATTTAGAGCTGAACTCCAGGAATTCAGGCACTTTTTAAAATGTTCTTGATTACTAGGGGTTCACTTTGTGGACTTGTCTCTTTAAATTCCTATTTTTCTGAGCATTGGGAGCAAAGCTATGATTATGCTTT